CGCCAGCAGTATGGGGAGAGGCAACTTCTTTTCACTGGGGGTACGTGCACCATGAAGCACCATACCACAGGAAATAGCAGTGGCTCTTACAAGGAAGTTAGTCAAGAGTTTTATGCATAACTACGTTGGCCTACACAGTCCACCACTGACATACAATTGGAGTCTCCGGTCTCCTAAGCACAAGACAACTTACATATTACCACCTGACCACTTTCCCAGTCTTGACTATCAAGTGACGCTCTTGAGATTTTAATAACGTCTTGCCTTCTTCAACTCCAATGAACAGGCTAATACCACTGTGTTCACTACCGAGAGACGTCTTTTGGCAGTGGCAAAGCAGTGAATACGAGGCTGTTGACCAACTGGATGGGAAAATCGTTGTCCTCAACAACGCAACCATCATCACAACTCAGAAGTGCCTTCTGCGATTTTTTCGTAGTTCTCTCGACTGTTTAACTGTTAAAGTCTTCAATTTTATTCTGGGATCCTTCACGAGGGAACGTCTTCCTTGGTCTATACCTACAAACTAACGGTTTAGGGTTCAGGGTGCTGATCGGGTGGGAAAGATCAGCCATCAAGTTTCCGATGGTAAGCTATCTCCTGTGCCTTTTCGTTATCTTTTATGCGGTTTATATATCCCGTATAACCTGCCTGTAGTAGCAAAGAAGAACGGGTCTCAAACAATAACTCACCTGATGGGGATGGCAGTGCAAACGGAAACTTGTCTGTAGAGACAAGCTAGGCACGGTGACCCTTTACCCTCCAGAATTTCAGTACGAATGTCACACAAGATAGAATTCACCAGAACCTGTGAACTCATGTAGCCAAGGCGATAGCAATATGCCTCCAACCATCTGTTGTCATAAAGCAGACAATGAGGAAAAAGTGGATGTTAACAGGCAAGTATACTGACACATGCGATAGTTAACTCCAACTCACAAAAACAGGCAACTGAAATGTGAAAAACAGCAAACCTCTGACGACTGTGGTGTTTGGAACACATCAGCGCCAGAGACTCACAAAGCTCCTGGGTCTGACATTTACCCGAAAAGGGTGCACTGTGCCTTTGATAAACGCGTGTCACGTTAGTGTAACAACTTCACGGAAAGGTGCCCATGCAACCGGATATGCTGCATACATCCGGAACGTCGGAAACTACCCGTTCTAACCCCCAGCAAACTTAAGAACTTGGTGCGGGCAGCCTAAGACGTCACGAGATACGAGCTCCCGAAATCTACTAACAGATATGGCAGGTCCCATGGACACCGAAAGCACAGGTGCGGGTAAACGTCACCAAGCGGCATGAGAAACTGCCAGTCTCCACTGAATGTGAGGCACCGACGAGTTCTTCACTACATGCTTTAAAAAATCCCACACGATCTGGAGAAGCTGAGCCACTTGACGAAATCGATTGTGGCGAGAAGAGATAGGCGAAGTTCGAGACGGAAAGTGTAGAGTAAACCACTGACTTCCGAACGCAATACCCATCACCCACAACGACAGACTCACCCTAAGGAAAAGGAGAGCAGTCCACCCAGGAAGAGTGGGATGGCTGCTGCAAGAAGCTAGGAACAAAGCCCATTACAGTGAACTTGGGCTGGCTCTCTCATGGAGGCAGAGCACTACGAAATAAGCCCCACACCTTAGGGTGTCATCGGTGACAGCCGAACAGTAGGAAGCTAGAATTCTGTCATCTCACAAACCAGAGATCTCAGGCTCCTGCATCATAAGGGTGAGAGCAGATAAGACAGTAGTTACGGCAGGGGTAGAAAGGAATTTCACTTTCAGTGATCTGCACAAGGCTACGGACATAATGAGACATGAAGCATATGGACCGGCGGGGGGCCCATGGGCTGTGATAGCTACCCAATAATGCCAATCAGTGAGGGTGGCTAGTGGCAAAGGTTGGACTAGAAATCTTTCCCGCCGGTGGCGCACGTGGACGATCAGAGCCAATTCACGTGTAGAGAGTCTCTAAACCCGGGTTTCCAGCTGTGCACTACAACTCTGAGGCATCACTCATAAATCCCCACAGATATAATCGTAAGCTCCTCCGGCACACCAACACCAGGACGACAAGAAGAACAAATTACGGAGGCTTGTCACATCAGCACTTGCTGGCGGCCAGCCTACGATATGTAGACATATAAGGACACCATCTGCAGTGCCATCAAAGGGTGTTCCGAAAGTAGTCAGATGACCGCCTCTCATACGCTCTCAGGTGACTCGCGCCACCCAAAGGCGAATACAGAGGGAAAAGGGGGTATAGTATCGGTGGTGTACAATCGCGTAAGGAATCCGACCTTCTCAGTTAAAAGAGGTTGCGCAAAATGAACGACACAAAGACTATGCATGAAAGGTTCAGATGACAGAGTAGGTTGGTCGAGAGGCTAGGTTGCAATCCGAAAAGTCTGTGTTGATTTATGTCACGGAGAAGACCAACAAACAAAAGCATTGACTTTATCATAGGATCAACCGGTGAATTCCTCGGTAGGATGGCGATAGCGGAAGTTAAGCAGCTGTTTGGTGGTCAGCTCAATACAGCAGTACATTCACCACCAATATACTTCCAGAGCTGTTATGCACCCGCAGAGAAGAACCTAGGACCAAACTTCCCTGACGCGCTGGATACGGGTGCCAACCGTGAGGGAGTGGCGGTAATGGCAAACGCCATACTACACTTCCTAAGATGGGAGCTCGGAGCCCCAACTCCACCAACATTCGTCGGCAGTCTAATCATTCACTGCATTCCCAAGCGGTAGTATCTGCCACTAAAATCCACCCCTTCTCCACATTAATACTGTCAACAATTGTTTTCCCGTGAGTACATTTCACTCCTCTTTTCTCATTCCCCACTTGCTCTGCTTCTCGCGCTTCTCCCCGGATAACGCCTAACACTTATCAGATTTGTTTATACGATTTATGACACAACGATACCGCATCATTTATTTGATGATGTTTCGCGCATACATTATTTCCTATAATCCTATCACATTTGCTGATGGACCTAAGCCTGGTCAAAGGGCAACCCCCAAGCTTGTGGCAGGCCTTTCGAATCTGCCTTACAAGCATCGGTTAGACTGACCAAACTTATCCCCGCCATCTTACCACAGGAAAGAGAGTGGTCTCATACCGGCATTCCATAAGCTTAACGGTGACTTTGATACTGGTGTCACCTATCTTTTACCTCCCGCTAGGGTTGACTATCCTCGAGGGCATCATGAGAAAGTCCAAAAGCTGCGATCAGATCAGATTAGCGTGAACCTCCGTTTCTCTTATCGTGTGGTCAACAGCGGGAACTCTTTACCCCACCAAAAAGTGCCGGCACCCGCAGCCAAAGCCTTCAAGGAGAGACCAGATCCTCACGGACGCATCCTCTGCAAGGATCAACGCAAGCCAAGCAGCCTGCCACTCTTCCCACTGAAAGCTGAGACTGGCCAGTCAGCAAAATCACCACAACATGCAGACCCACGCCACTAGTAAACCCAGAGATATCTCACGTTACGAAGGGCACTTTCGAGTGTATTTGCAGCTATCTGAGAGGACTCTGAAGTAAAACACAAGAGCTCTGTTCTGACTTTGCTCCGAAAAGTGAAGTCCTGAGGGAACAGTGGTTATCACTGGACATTAACGACGCTAAAGTTAACATACGTGACGTATTTTTGTTCAGAAGGGACAGGGGACACGAGAATGGAGGTAGGATTGCAATATGCGGATAGCCAGTCCAAAAGTGAACAAACTGATGACACTGCGTTGAAAGGGCTCCCAGACTCAACTTAGTGTCATTTCATGGTCAGATACACTATATACCCGGTTGAAGGAATCCATAGGTCTCCTAATAGTGACGTGGAACACAACCAAAAGTTATTCCAGGTAGTAATCACAGTATTGACTATGGGGCATGATCAGATCCCAACAGCCTGTGATTTCGGCGTCCCAACTCCCGGCCTAGAGCAAGACAGCACAACTTCTAGCCGGAAGTTCGATTGGTACTTGCTAAATTCCATTCGGATGTTTGGACTGTACAAAAAATTAGCGACAACGTCCGCTGAGGGTCAGATGGCAAACCGTCTGAACTTGGTTACCTGCTGACTAGTGACCATCCATTAGTTGAAAACGTCCAAGTCTAGACCCCCCTTGGAAGCAGCAATCATGTTGTGGTAGTGTTCGATCTGATCATCAGCGAACAATTACCGTCGAAAGGATCTTGTCCTTGTCTCTGCCACAGCAGGGCAAACTACGAGGGAAGGAACCAATGCCTGTCGATAGCTCCACGGTTAGTAGATTGGCTGTCCTTATCGTTTGGCCGGCACTGGGAAGTAGCAAGAGACATCATCAAAGTGGTGACATCCAAAAACGTCCCAGTGACGGTAAAAACACCCGGAAGGCGAACCTCATAGCTAAAACGGGGCACTCAGCGTCTCCAGAAAGTAGAAAGGAAGGCATGGCGTAAATGGAGGTTCCCCGGAGTAGAGGATGACCATGACGTATACACAGCTCTGTGAAATCGATGCAACATCAGGGTGTGAGAAGACAGGAGGTCGTTCCAGTCCAACCTCACCAAGAAGCTTGAAGTAAATCCCCAAAACGCATATCGATCGTTGGTGAAGAGCAAATCTACAAGCCAATTGGCATGCGTCCGAAAGGGGAAAACCACCCTGAACAGGAGATCAACAAAATGACAATCGTCACCTTTGACGCACGGCTCATCATTTCATCATGCAAGCACGTATACCTGCAGCCTGAACAGCCCCAACGTTATCCGATGCAGCCGAGTTACACGAAGTACAAAAACACGTGCTGTTGTTCCCGATAAGTCGTCCAAGCCAAGTGCGGGAAAATGTCCAGGGTTTGACGGCATTCGTCAATCTGCGTTGAAACAATAAGAGAGTGCCCTAAGTGCCGCACTACGCAATCTTTTCCAGCTGGTTTACACAAGGTTGTCAAACAGATATTGGATGTTGGATGTTGAACCGCGTCATACGACAGTAGCGGTGTAGATGTCGGGTTTAAGACCGAGGCTTCCAACATTTTCCCAGAGGTAGGTTCAAGTTTTTGTAAGTCGTTTATCCTTAGGATTCTGTTTGCGCAAATGTGTCTGTGTGATCATCACTGAGTAGAGATTGAAATGTCAGTTTTGCAATACGTACCCTTTGAAACAGTAGTCGACACTGCCTTTTGGCATGGCTTAGCTGATCGAAAACTCAATAAATACCGTCTGTCAGAGGGTCCCTTCAAGATATCTGCTCAGTTCACGAATAATCAGGCCCTCGGCATATCCCCTAGGATATCGGTTGACATCACTTCTTTCTGTGACAGCAATGTGGTGAGGAGTTCGGTATCATCCAGCTTCAAAGTCTTTGGTGAATTATTCACGTTTAACAGTTTGGATGAGTTCAAGAGTCTTGATAAACAGTCCTTTCTAAATGAACATGGTTCCGTAATAATGACAGAGGCTCTTTCACAGAATGAATTTCTGAAAAACCCTATCGTGCTCTTGCGGTTCCTACTCTTAACCTACTGTGACCTCAAAAAACACAAATTTTACTTCTGGTTTGCTTACCCAGCAGTTTTACATTCAGAGCAGCCAATGTTTTCGTGTATCAGGAGTGTCAGGGAAGAATTTTCTGAAGACCAGGTCATGTGTATATTGCATTCATTTGACTGCTGGCGCAAGGAAGATAATTCTCCTTTTTTCGTTGTGCGATTAGATCCGTCCATAGAAGTTCGCCCATTGTCAGGTTTTGAGTTAGAACCCTCTGTGTATGTTGGAATGTGTGATTCATCTGTTGACCCACAGTTCCCTTGTTGGTTTTTACGCAATCTGCTGTATGCACTATCCGCTACTTTAGTGCAAACAGAAAGTTCTGTTAAAGTACTGTGTCTCAGGGATCGTTTTGTTTCAGGACAAAGATGCTGGGAGCATAGCATTGTAATTCATGCCAAATTACGACCAACAACTCCAATTTTCAGTCAATTCGTTGGTTGGGAGAAATGGAAAAAGCAGTTAAAACCGCGTGTTGTAGACCTCAGCACAAGTATGGACCCCGTTAAATTAGCTGGGTCAGCTGTAGATCTGAACTTGAAGTTAATGAAATGGAGACTCATGCCTGATTTAAAACTCTCGATATTTCGTGATACAAAATGTCTGCTGATAGGTGCAGGTACTTTGGGTTGCAATGTTGCTCGTCAACTCTTAGCTTGGGGAGTTCGTCATATCACTCTAGTGGACAACAGCTCAGTTTCGTTTTCTAACCCTGTACGACAGTCCTTGTATGTTTTTTCTGATTCAGTAGGTCCCAGTAAAAATAAGGCTGTAGTTGCAGCTCAGGCACTAAGAGCGATTTTCCCAGGCGTGGAAGCAAGTGGATTTGACCTTTCTATACCTATGCCAGGGCATCCTGTATCTTCCCATAGTATAGTGCCACCTGGTGATGCTCAAGAATCAGAATTTTGTACTTTTGGTCAGTGCGCGGATACTTGTCGCAAATTAAGTGATTTGGTTGGCGAACATGATGTTCTGTTCCTATTGACGGATACTCGAGAGTCTCGTTGGTTGCCTACAGTTCTGGCGAATATTCACGGAAAACTTGTAATAAATGCTGCTCTTGGTTTTGATACATATTTGGTCATGCGTCATGGCATCCGTGGTCCATTTATTTCACCAAGCTCTGGAGACGTCAGTGATCTCACTTCGTGTATTCGTTATCTTAAGTGTGAAGAAATGAGTCTCGGGAAGAAAGATCCTGCTTTAAAACCTAAAGTCATACCTGGCTCTTTCTTGGGTTGTTATTTTTGCAATGATGTAGTTGGACCAATGAATTCAACACGCAATCGTAGCCTCGACCAGCAGTGTACTGTCACCCGACCAGGTGTTTCTATGATCGCTGCTGCTTTTGCTGTCGAATTGATGATCAGCATACTTCAACATCCTCTTCAGTATAATGCCCCAGCCGATACATTATCGCAGTTGTGTGAAACGGATGCAACTAAAATGTCTCTTGGGCTTGTTCCCCACCAAATAAGGGGATTTCTCTCTCACTATACACAAGTCTTACCTGCGACGGTGGCATTTAGTAAGTGTTCAGCGTGTTCACAGTCTGTACTGGATGCATACAAAGAAAGAGGATTTGATTTTCTTTGGAAGGTCTTTGATGATGCTTCTTATCTTGAAAGTGTATGTGGTCTGCGTGACCTACATGATGAGTGTAACGCTGAATCAATTTTAATGCTAAGTGATGTCGATGACTGATATTATATCAGTCTTAAAATTTTCGTCGCAATGGAGAGTTTAAAACAGACAATGAGTCACTTTTTGGTCAATAAATGCTTTGTTACTTCTATTGGTAATTTTACTGTTAATATGCATATAGATATAAATTTTAACCTTTGAACGTGGCTACTTTTTCATTTATTGAACATTAACAGCTGTCATTGGGTTTCTGGTTTTATGTTTTAGTCCTTTCTGTCACGAATAAATCATATGCATATACTGCTAACTTCATATTTTATCAGTGTGTAATTTAGATTTCGAGTTTGAAGTTCGGTTGGTCTCAATATGATTTCATGGTATTGTGTAGCAGTTCATTTGACGGAATGAGAATGGAGGTAACATTTGGTAGTAGTAGGAGTGCTTATTAAACTTAAGGAAGTACCATTGAGAATTTCCATTACAATTTGGAAGCCATTTGAGTGGACGAAGAATATTTTCTATAGGAATATTCTTTGTTCACTCAAATGGCTTTAGAAAATATGAATGAATAATTGGATGTTATGCAGCTGTTTTATCTGGCATTCACAAAACGCCAGTGCTCTTTATCACCTTTGAACTTTACAGATCTCTATAAAGTTTTAACACAAGCCATGTTTTGGGGCAGTGATTTGTGTGTAATTAATGGGCTATTCAATAACCTCTTTCTCCTACTAGAATACCCCTTACCAGTGTCATTAGATTTTGTGCTGAATACGTTATATGCTGTAGTACATAAAACTGACTACTAAGTAGCATTTGTTAATTTCAAATTATTAAAGAGACAAACTAAAGCAGAACGTAGCACAAAGTTCATCAGTTCAAATCGCCACACCTACTAACCTGCAAAAAGGAATTGGATAGAAAATTAGTAATGCTCAGGTAGACAATAGTATACTGGAGGAGAAAGGACTAAAAGACAGTTAATGAATATGTCGGAACTTTCGGGATGTCAAAAGTAGGATACATCTGCGCCATTGTGACTAATTTTAAGCCGTTACCAAAGGTCTGCAACTATTGTTTCCTTTCGTGTCGAGGACCCCAAACAGGCAGTCTACACCTCCCCATGTGACAAACTAATAGTTGGAAACTTCATGAACTGGTGACGTGTCCTGGTCTGGCCATCCTAAACCTTCTAGACCCATTCTACTTCGACCAGCGTTGAAGTTTGAGGTGGGAGGGTGGCTCGATGTGCGCAAAATATGATGTCCAAGACAACTTAGTTTCTAAAGGTCCACAACTTCACTGGTTGACTTTCCACCCTTGGTTATTACCTTACGCCTGGCATCGACAGTGTTCTCACAGGCATTCTATGATACATGAGCGATGCTGCGAATATCTCTGTAGTTGAATACTTGTAGTTTCGTTATATATTCTATTTTCGGCGACCATGTTTCACAACTATGTGATAGGAAAAAACGACCTGTTGTGCGATATACTCATTCCTTAAATTATTGAAGTTGCAATTCAGTTTTGCGTGACTGCTAACTTAGTATTGCTATGGGATTTTTTACATGATTTTCTTTGTTCATGCAGTCGGGCAGTCGATAGTGCACTTATAACTTGTCAGAAATGTTTGGAAAAAGGCCACTGGACGTATCAGTGCACAGGTAAGCGCAAATACCTCAAACGCGAATCATATACTGCTGTGCTGGGCAAGAAACTTGAAGCTCAGAAAAAGACTCAATCAAAGGTTGGAAAGTATGTTGGACACAACTAACTCATTTTTGATCCCACAGAACATCAAGCAGTAGTGAATCATCGTCATCATCAAGCTCTAGTTCTTCGAATGAATCTTCTACTTCAAGCTCTAACGATGACTCTGACGAAAAAGATTCTGATTCAGAAATGAATTCAAGCAGTAACGAAAGTTCTAGTGATAATTCATCATCTGATACTTCCTCAAACAGTGGCGATAGTCAATCTTCTACGAGAAGTTTGAAGCGCAAAAGAAAATCTTAGTCAGTATTTTTATTGTGTTATTGTACAGTTATCTAAAAATACTTTGAATATCACAGATTTTTTTGTCGTGACGAGGATGACATATCATTCATATATATATATATATATATATATATATATATATATATATATATATATATATATATATATATATGACTAGTAGTCTGTTTTAGGCCATGTAAAGTCAGTAGTCGGTGGATCAACAGCTGGTATTGTAATGTTGATCTGATCGAGGTACTAATTAGACTACTTCTTTTCTGTAGTTCTGCCGTATTCAACTAGACGATTGGAGAGCAGTAAAATCGGAAGTGAATACCACTGCAGTAATAACGGTCTTCTGAAAACACTGCTCCTTCTTGATTATGGATGATTTTTCGGATCGTTATCTACTCCCTCATTACGTATGTCATATGGTCATTAGACCTATCGCTCTCAGTTTTATTAGATTAATCTTCTTTTGTTGTCTTTATTATTGACTTACAGAGTTGCTTCTCTGATCTCCTAAAAAATAATTTACTAACCGTACGTTTCTAAGACATGTATATAAGATATGAAAGGAGTTATCTGCTTGACGTTCTCTAGCCATTTCGGTGACTAGGCAATTTTAGAAACGTTGTCCAAAGATTCACTAGCCAGTTTTCATAAAGCACGCAAGTATGAGAATAGCAATGCCTGGGAATAGAAAGCGTACTAGTTGTCTGCATCTCTGATAACAGATGACTCGAAAAAATCGTGAAAAATGCATTTTGCCATCGTTTCAAAGTTACTGTTTGTCCATCTACTGACTGCAGTTTAATTACTATGAGGTACAAATCTTCACAACAATTTTAAAACCTGATTGACAAGGCTGCAGGCACTGACATCATATTGAATCTATTACAAAATTTGTGATACTAAAACAAATAACCAGAAGGAATTTCTATCAATCCGCCAAAACAAAAATATAGTGCTGGTCATTTGCTGCAGTTTTGCTCCGAAATTTATACTTTTCGCACAAATTAGTTCTAGGTATAAGTAGAGGTATTTATGGCTTTTGTCACCACTACATAACTTTGATTGTGGGTGCCAGTCATATCGTTAACCATATTTATGGAGCGTTGGGGGTAACTTGACGTGTTAATCCAGTCAATCACCGGGGTTTTTGTCAGTCAGGCTAATGTAGAATCACCCGTGACTTGTCGGAAAGTTACCTGTAATTATTATAGTTGAGTATACATTTACCTATGAAGCCAGTGACAATGATCTAAGACTGGTCTGCATTAGCACCTGGTTCATCAATGGGGAGTGAAGTATTTTATTTGCTGATAGCTTTTCCTGTTTGAAGAGGCTTTATTTGGTTGACAGGAAACAAAAGTATGTGGATGCAAAAAGCTGGATTAGGATTAGACCACTTGTACTGTAAAATTTTGCGGTTAAATGTACAATTTCTCTAAGGCAATGATTACACTGATAGTGCACTATAAGTAGTAAAATTAGAAAACATAAGAAACATGTATTGAGTGGTGTGCTTTGGTTCAAAGTAAGATACTTTTCCTCATGATAATGTATTAAGCGAGGTTAGTGAACCATCCGTGTGCAAATAATTGTGCTGGGAATCTTTGACTTCAGACTAGGGATATAAACGGACTCCAAGACGCTGATGGGACAAATGGTATGTAAACATGTAGTGCCAATTGGCTATGGTTTGACTGCATTATATACTCGTACCACTACCACTTTTGAGCTAAGGACTTGAAAGTTATTTATTCAACACATTTTGATAGCCTAAGTAGCATGAGAACGTTCGTATTACATGATAGGAAATGCAAGTGTAAAGGAATCCACCTTTCCGTCTTAGGGGCATGTGAATTGAGCTTTTTATTCTTAACGTGTTGGTCATTTTCATTCAGCTTACATGTAATTTTTTTGGTTTCAATTACCGTAACCGGACATTGTTATGAGTTGTGAAACATGTGGGTTGTAGTTATCAAAGAGTTGTTTACATAGATGTGTCTTCCAATAGAAGAGCAACCATTTATAAATTATGAGTATCATGAAGGCTTTTTGCTTTGTGTATGCACCTTGATGCTGATCGGATAGCTTCGGAATCAGACGAGGACAATGAACGAGGTATACACATGAACCCAGTACTATGTTTCGGTCGCAATCCATGTATTGATTAAAAAGTATGCTTCATTTGAGCTAATCCGTGGATTTTTTGACATTTGTGCTCCATCACTGTGAGTGTCAATGCTGTATTAAGTGCAATGGATCTGAAGCTGTACTACTTGAGTAAATTTCTGTAGATAGTCATTTGCCTTTTTGGGTTGGGTCTCACTATGATAATTAATGGAGAAATGGAACATTGTTTCCTTACTATCTCTACTTTGGCTCTTACAAGTTAAAGGCTAGATACAACCAAAGATGAATATCCTTTACAGATATTGTGCGTGCAGGTTATTTGTCTGAGTTCTGAAAATAATTGCTAAACTAACCTTTAGGACAAGTTTACGGGATACCTAGTACAAAAAATGGTCTTCCACCATCTCGAACAAATCACAACCTATTTTCCACAGGTAATTACTTTCTACAAAGTTATCGTCGATGTACCACCTTGAATATTCTCTCTCCTATTCAGGTCTGAATTCGAGTACCTTATTTTTAAAATGCCTATGGAGTGGGTGCATACAATACTTTTGTCCCATCCGGAATACTTGTTAGGATTCTTTTTTGTGTATTAAGTTCATCTCGGATTTGTTAATCATCAAGGTGGTTGTCCTAAACGGGTTAACTTAAGCAAACTGGTAGCTCCCAGTACTGCATAGAAACAAATTTGGCTTGGTTCAAAGTTAGCTGTTCATCATTCTGAAAACAAAAGCGATCACTAGCCAGCAATCTTTGCATCTCGACATCAGAGCTGAATTCGGTATTGTGGACAGAATTATGCAGTGTAATTGTCTGTCAGAGTACAGTGTTTCTGGGGTGTGTGTAAACTTTTTGAAAGGTCTGTAGAAAAAAACTGAATAGATGGAGCGCACACCACCACTTCTGTTCATTGTTTCAGTAGTACGATACAGGTTGTCTAATACCACCGTATGTTTTTAGCTTTATTATCAATGACATTCCGTGAACATCTCTGAAGTAGATTCACCTTTGATGGTTGACTTCTTGAGAGTAGTGAAAAAATGCATATACCTGTGAGATAGACTGTTAGTGGTGAAGTGGATGCTACGATCTGCCTCATCTAATCTTAGTGTTCTCTGATACCATTAGTTTGTTTGTAAGAGATCAGGTGTACAACGCTTTAGTGTGGCAATCTTTACGTTTGGGAAAACTGGCATTAGGGGGACAAGGATGTCTGATTACTTTGTGTTCAAATTTTGCTGTTAAGTGGTGGTTCCATTTATCAGCAGCAATAATCAAATAATACTGAGGTTTGATATGAATTATAGATGTTATACTTCAATAAAGCTCCCATCTCCTTAAACATATTTTTATGGACTATGATATTGAGCCTTATTTTCTAACTAAGAATGGCTGGAAGTGGTCAGTTTGTGAACTTAAACCATAGAATGGGGAGTAGTTTTGATGGGTCAGCATATGGTGGTGCATCCTGATTCTGTGTAATGGGTCCCAGAGGTTAGTGCTCTTAGAAACTTCGTATATGGTTAGTTATATTTCAAAATCGAGACCGCGGTCAGTAACCCTCTTTTTCTTGTTTTCAGAGGAAAGTCATTTCAGAAAAGCACAAAATCTCTCTTTTGTGCATCACTAGTTTGCTGAATCTCATATGAGTATAACAAACGTGAGTCTTTAGAAAATACATACAAACTATTATGGTGATACCACTGGTGGGGGATAGACTAACCGTTTGATGATATATTGAGGCTTAAAGACAAAACTAACGAAGAGCCTCGCACCCAGGTGCATCACCTCAGGTTGCCACACTTCATGGTTGTACACAAGAAACAGGTGGATAGAAAGGGAGTAATATCAAAGTGGATAAAGTTGTGTGAGAGAACAAGCGGTTTGAAGATAAAAGTTAGTTCGAATATTCAAACTTTAGATGTTAAGAAGTGAATACAACTGCCCCACTGCGACTGATTTTCAGCCACGTCACCAAGATTCCCCAACCACTGATTCCTGTCATCTCAGGGACCCCAACCAGGGAGTCTACATCTCCCACACGGCTCAGGGCAATAGTCGGGAACTTCGTCGGCTGGTGCTGAGTCTTTGGTCTGGTCAACCTGAACCCTTTTCTATTCTGATATAACTTCCCTTAACATAACACGTCGATGTAGAGGGTGGCTAGGGATGCGCAGTACATGTCCAGGCCATCTTAGTCGACTAAGGTTCACAACCTCATCATTCGACTTGCCTGTCTTGTCTGGTATCCTTCGACTGACTTCAACATTACTCACATGGTGATTCCACTATATGCGAGCAACGTGACGAAGACATCTGTGACCAAAACCCTACGACCGCTTCATGTCTCCCACTTTTAACGGCCGTGTCTCACAGTCGTGCAGCAGAACAGAACGGACTACAGCACAGTATGCTCGTCCTTTGATAGATATTGGGTATCTCATCAGCCAGCGCCACAGATGCCGCAAGTTGGAAAATGTCGAACGAGCCTTCTATATCCGAGCTGAGATTTCGTAAGTAACCAGCTTCTTCAGGCTGATGCAACTCCCCAAGTAGGCGAAGTGGTCTACATTTTCCACCACTTCACTCCCTATGGTTAAACTGAGAGTCGTCTCAGACCAGTGCTGCAGCATCATCTTGCATTTGACGGGTGACAGGGCAACGCATGCCAAATACCGCTTTCTGGTCATGAAATGTGACATATGTCGGTCTCTGGCAGGTAAGACTGTCTGTGTGGGGTGAAAGTATAGTCGATGCGCCATCGTCAAGTTCTGAGACCTGCCGGTTTTCTCGAATTCGCTTTTCTGTAGCCCCAGTTAGGCATCGGATGAATAGGGATCCCAGGTTCTTGGACAAAATATTAGTCAAACTGATTC